TGAGAACCTGGGCTGGAGTTCACTGAAGTTCTTCATGTGATCATTATAGAGCTGTAGAGAAGATGGATGATGGGTGTAGTGTGACAGCTTTATAGCTGAGCCTGGTAAACAGCATGTTTGTCTTTATGCCTTACCACTTAAATTATATCATGTCTTTGCTTTTGACCGCAGATTAGCAAAACAGCCTCCTCCTGAGCTCTGATCAGCTCTGTTACCTCAGAGCGCGTTTTTCTCAATGGAGCGGATCAGCTCAGTAAAGATCCTCTCACTGTCCTCCACTGCTGCCTGTGCAGAGCTCTGTTACAACACACACACAAGATGGAGCTCCATTTACACACCAGCTATCATTCACTCTCTCACTGGGACTCTAGATGACTCACTGTCCACATTGTGGCTGTGTAGGATCTCTAAGTGTCCAACACTGGACTCCTCACTGTCTGACTGGAGGAGAGTCGGACTGAGCTGTGAAACAGCTGTGATGTTCTTTAGTAAGAAAATGGTTCTCTATAGAACCATAAGCACTCAAAAACCCTTTGCATGATTAAAGGGTTCTTTGCATCATGAAAGGGTTCTTCAGACTGACAGGCATAAATGTGCTATAGAAGGTTCTGTACAGATCTAAAAAGTGTTCGACATTGCACCCAAAATGGTTCCACTATTGTTACAAGCATGACACAGTAACAACAGAAGAACCCTTTTTGGTGCTATATAGAACCATTTTCAGAAAGAACCATCCACAGCACAATTCATCTAAAGAGCCATTTCATGATGCAAGGAACCCTTTAGTCATGCAAAGGGGTTTTGAGTGCTTATGGTTCTATAAAAAAACATTTTCCTTACTAAAGAACCCTTGAGGAATCTGAAAATGGGTTATTTTATATGTTCTTCACAGAAAATGAGCAAAAGACAAGAATCTGAGGTTGAAATAATGATAAATCACGTAATTTTTTCTTTTGGTAAACACTGAAAATGGGTTCCACAAACCTGAACACCACACAAGGGTTAAAAATATGAATTCTGACTCTGAATTCCTCTAGAATTTTCACATTAAACCTCTCTGAATGACATTGTTTACATCTTAACAATCGAATTATACAGTTTATATTTAGAGTAGTTGGTTGAATTCACCTTTAAGAGCAACATTTCCCCCATTTTAACACTTAGAATCATTATTGTAGTGGTTAAAGTTTATATATTATAAATAAATTTGTGATTCTGATGGTAAAATTATGGAGGAAAATAAATCAGATCTCCGAAACTGCAGCGTTTCTCTGAAGACTGTCTGAATGTTGGTATGTTTAGTGGGTGATCGAAAGAGCACATTCAGTATTGTGTAATTCTTGTTTTTTAACTCCATAGATCTACAGATTGTCTGCATTTCACAATCGCCATTTTCCCAAACAATGATAACAATACAGTAAACAATAAACCCGTACCGCAGTACATTTGTCTATGTATATGTGGCCACAGAAAACACTTCATTAAAACACCACAGAACCAAAAAAACAACACATTTAATCTATATCTATTTATGTTGAGGGTGTGTGCACGACAGTTAAGGAAGCCACAACGGTCCTCTTAAAATATGTGACCTCTGTAAATTAAATGGTTGAAAATATGTATTAAAATAATTAGGTTTGGGCAGATTGATGACAGTATCATCCATCGCCAGTGTTTCCCTCTATTGTGATTGTCAGTCAAGTTGGATGGTATAAATGTCCAGAAACACGCTGCCCATGTTTAGAATGAACTGTGTTGACCTGACCTGGTTGCATAAAGACAGCATGTTTTCCAAACAGGCTGTGTACAGCTATGTTACGATATGAGGTCATAGCCTATGGCTAACAGCAGTGCAGTCATCATCCTTCATATTCCAACACGCTGTAGTGTAAAACAAAAAAAAATAAAAGTTAAAAATGATGGCCTTTGATAACTTAATGCACAGGAATAGGCCTTTCTCTCCCTCTCACCTCATCTGTGTGTAGTAACATTATTTTATTAAACTTTACCAACAATTTACTTACAAACAACAAATAATGAGAAATCGGTTATTTTTTTGTTTTAACCTCTTATTCTCCAGGGCATATTTTGGTTTGTCCATCTGAATTTACGTAATCAAATCATAAGGCAAATTATTCAGTAACTGCATGAAATAAATGTAAATTTTTATTTATTTATTTATTTTTTATTTGTAAAAGCTCCCCTCAAATTAACAGAACATGTGTTTTATGATCACACATATTGCTATATGCTTACAATTTACTGCTGAAAGCCAAAAATCTTAGACGCTCTTTGTGTTATTTTATAAAAATAATTTTTACAGAGCAGATCACTGAAGAGTCGCCATCTGTTTATAGTTTACAGCCCAGATTTGTGGAAAAATGGGTCGACTTTCAGTAGAAAAAAAAAATTGAGTTCAGCTTCTTTTATTATAACGGTTTAAAATTACATCGCCCATCTATTTGACTGGAAAGAAGACAGTTACAGCTCTCATATGACCCCCACCTTCTGAATGTAGCTTATGAAAAATGAAAGTTATGAAGAACATGATGAAGTGCGTTTTGGAACCACTGGAAGAGGCTACCTGGTAAAATCTACTTTTCTGATTGGCCTTTGACAGAACTGACACCTCTTCATTTCCCTCTAAGTTACAGGTTGAGGAAGTGAGGGATAGAAAATTGTGTTATGATCAACAGTAAATGAACTTTTCACTGATATTAACTTGTAAACAACAATATATGGCAAATACTTGAGTCACTGTTTCCAAATACTTAAGAGAAATATAAAAACAGACAATATAAAGAGCTGGAAATGTCACTTCTAGCTCTCTCCCTCATTCACACTCTCACACTTTCACTAAGAAGTGAGGTTAAACCAGAGAACCTGTAGAGAGGAGAAATACCACTATGGAATGTTTATCGGGTTTCTCAAACGCTATAAGGCGCTCCGAAGCAGGTCCAAAATAAATGGGCTAAGATGGAAAATCATACTTTATAGACGCTTAAAGAGTCGCTGTTATATTTTTGAGCACTTTTGAACTCCAGTTATAGTTTGATATAACAGTGGAAATAGGAAGAGACCAGGCTCCTCATAAACCGGCTCTGGGTCAAACTAGTTGTCTCATCAGCTAGCTAGCTAATGTTATTGTTAGCCTTTTAACTGCCTCACGTAAACCCAGTGTTAGCTAGCTAACGAGCAACTGAGTAAAAATCCAAGAGCCAGCTATACTGACCATAATTTGCCACATTGTAAAGTCCATATTGTAAGTGGGTAGATTCACTCTTGTCACTACTTGCCGTTTCATTCTGCACATTATAGATTTTGAAAAAGGTCTAAATTTATTTTAGTGGACTTTAGTGGACCAAAATCCTGTCTTCAGCTTCAGTGGTTTCTAACTGTCATTATTTTTCAGGGAGTAAAACCAGAGACCCAGGTCTGATATGATTGGCTTACAAATTGCATGGTCTGATATGATTGGCTTACAATTTACAAGGTCTAATTTGATCGTTACGTTAGTCAATCTCTGGTAGTACAGCAAAGGCAGCACTGTATTAGAGCAGTAGCAGCGCCTCCCCCCAGGTCATGCCCTGCAAATGCAGTAAATTGTGAATAAGAATAAATTAAACTATATGATTTGAACTAGTAATGTACATTTATTTGGGAAGTTGGGCTTCTGGCCTAGCAATGCCCATGTTCTTATCTGGGTCAGAACGTTCGTCCATGTCCTGAATCAGTCATGACATATTGGCTGGTTTAGGAACTTTTTGCAGCAACGTGAGGTAGGTCTTATTTTCTTATTCCATACGTGAAAGCTCATCAACTTTCGGCAATATTCTCCATTTTTAATGGTAAAAAGGCCACTTGCACGAATTGTGTAAATTCAAGTTTTTTTCGGGGGTGGTGGGGGTGTCGTTTGGTGTTGAAGAGAACAGCTGTTTGTGGTCTTTTTCAGCCAAACCATATTCGTTATTTTAATTCTATGGACCAATTAGAAGCATTCGAGTGGTGTTGAAAACTGGGAAATAACAGTTTTCCTACTTGCAAACTGCACTGGAAAGGCTGACAAAATCATATTTACAACTGGTAAACTCAGGAATCTTGACGAGATGTGATGTATAACACGACCTTTAACCTTTTACATGAGTGAAAAATGCTAAACTTGTATTGAATGTAAAAAACAAGATACCTGATGCGCTTCTATTAGATCTATGTGCTTTTTAACACAGCAGAGAAAAGGCAGGACTGTATTCATTAATATTTTCATGCCACCTGAAAGTGTGAAACGAATTCATTGATATTTAAGGTGGAACAGAAAATTTGAATAAGAGGAGAACTACAGCCTCCTGACTCCTTCAGAATTGTTAGCTAACGAGCTGTTGGATGTTAAAAAAACAAAAAAAGACTTTTTGGTTTGGTCAGTAACGGCAGGCTTTTCAGTGCATTTGGTCACATCAGCCATAGTTTATGACTAACTAAGCAGAACATAAAAGCTGCAGTATCTTAAAATACAAGTTTGTAACAGCAGAAGAACCCTTTTTATAAAAGTTCTATATAGAACCATATACAGCACATTATCCATCAACCTGAAGAACCATTTCACCACCGTAAACAAGTGATTGATATCTTGGTTCTAAGTCTGGGTTTGTTCAAATCAACCTACAGCACTCTTAATTACTTTAATGAGGGCTTAATTAGCCAAACCAGGTAGTAGATTAAAATGAAAAACATCAATATTTCAAGGAGAAGTTTGGAAATTGTTAAACAAATCGGTTACAGACATAAAATCACTACTTTTTTGGAGCAAACAAACACTAACTGTTAAGAATCTTTGTAATTCTAAGTTTCTCTGCTGGTTTAGTATTAGATTTCTTACAACTTCATTTGTAGGACATTTGTCTTCACATCTAATTCCCCTTCCTGGTCCAATTCCAGTGAAATCTAACCCACAGACACACCCTCTTTGGGAGGGTCTTGGTCAGATGTGTCAGTGAGTGCATAAATGTGTCAGAGCTGGAAAGGCTGTGTCACTTCTGGTGAGGTTGCTCTGCTCTTTCTGCAAACAGCTGCTGAAGAGTGAACAGTCTGCGCTGAGTATCAGTCCTGCATCAGGTGAGTGATGATGATGATCTGACAGTATTTCAGTTTTTTATTAATATATTAATATTTTGATCCACAATACCAATATGGTTCAATACATGATGACCGAGACTCTCAAAAGCAGTTTATGAACTGGTTTATTATCAGGTATTGCACTAAAAATATGACCAGATGTACAATATAACATGCGTTTTCACTGCATTATCTTTAATCACAGGGTCACCATGAGCAAGTACAAAATCCAGGTCTTCACTGGTGACGTTCTTGGCGCTGGAACCTCTAACAAGATCTACATCAAGTTAATTGGAACACTCTCTAGCAGTGAACCCCAACAGCTTAAAACGCTCACAGGCTTTTGGGCCGGATCAGTAAGTTCATTCAGTTCTCTGATTGCACAACTAGAAATGTTACAAAAGTTTTGAAAATATTCTGGTTTAATTGAAAAAATACAAAACCATAAGTTATAAAATTGGTGTCTTTGGTAAATAAACAAACAAAATAAAAATTTAATTTAGGGACTCAAGTAGTTGCAGGTAAAATTTAAAAATTGATTAATTTAATGTTTTATTATCTGTTTTTTCTTCCTATTGTGGCTGTTATAATAAAGATTTTCCTGAACACGATAAACAAAATTTTCATTCATAAAAATAAATAAAATAAATGGCAAAGAAATTCTTAATAAAAAAAATTATGATGTCTGATCAGGTCTGATCCAAATCAATCGGTTTTTCATTAGAAGTACCCATATAAGAAAAAAAGGGGATCTGAAAAGGGGAATTCCACCGTTTTCAAATTGGGTCATTATAAAATAAAAAACAAAGTCATTCAGAGTAGTCTGATGTGAAATGATTCATTGAGGAGAAAATTACAGACTTGAATATTAGCCAGAGGTCATATTAAAGAAACTTCTTAAGTCTGAAATCGTATCTTATATGTTTAGCTACCATGACAACTTCAGTTAGGACTGAATTTAGGACAGAAGCTGTTACAGAACAACACTTCTTTCATAATCTTATCATTAACTCCAGATTAGAAAACAATATTACACAAACATCCTAACTAGACAAAATCTCCTAAATACTGTCTGAACTTTAAGATAAACCCCAACAGTGTCTTAGCATAATGACGCTACGTTCATCTACACTGAAAACTTTGACTTGAGAGGGTTTTTTTCTAACAGCGTTTAAAAGCCCCATACACTGCAGACACGATCACCACCATCCCCTCTTATTACCTTCATGTGTTAATGTTGATGAAAACTCATCAGATACAATATTACGGTGATGGTGGTGAATAATGAAGAGACAGAGCTGAACGAGTGTCTGTTTATTTGGAGGAATAACGTTAGTGCGGTCGGGTAAAGCGTTTGAGAAACTGAAACTGAAACTGGCAATAAAAGCATAATAGGTCCCCTTTAAAAAAATAGGTGAAATCCTGTTATTCATGGTAAATCACTCTGAATGACTTTGTTTACAATTCGACCATTTAATTATGCAGAAATTTAGAAAATTTAGTGGAATGCTCCTTTAAATAGCAAGAGCACTAAGAAAACATAAGGTAAATAAATTGGGGTGACCCAGCCAACACTGCGTGGAAGAACAAGAGCCATTTTATGGAATGTTTTATGGCATGTTTGGGGTCTTGTAATGCTTAAAGGTCCATGTGAAATCAAGACGAAGCCTGGCAGGCAGTCAGAGACAGTCAGAATGGCCTGATAGCTAGTAGATGAAGAACGTGTTCATGGGGAATGCAGTGGATATGTATATATTATTGAGCCCAGGACCCCAATGAGAGCCGTGAGAGGCGGCATGAGGACAGTGGCAGCGCCTCAAGTGTGTGCTGCCTCCCTGAGTGCGGACTTGGACACTGTCCTCACACCGTCTCTCGTGGCTCTCGTCTGGGGTTCACAATTATCCAAATTATTAATGTGCTTGACTAAAGCGTGTAAACCTTTATATCTCAACAGGTGCAAAATTTCACAGTCGAATGCAAAGCGAATATAGGCAAACTCTTACTGGTTGAACTGGAAGCTAAGTCACCATCCTTTATGGCATTTGTGGATGACGACTGGTTCTGCTCCAAAATCATTGTAACGACACCTGAAGGAGCCTGTATGCTTTTCCCATGTCATAGCTGGATGAACTGTGATAAGAAGCTGATTCTCAGGGATTCTGTAGGTGCGTAAAAATGGTGAATTATAGTGCAGTTTAGCAATTAACTGACTCGATTCAAAGCGCCAGTTTAGGAGGGAACAGTGTGTTCCTGCTGTGAGATAAGTTTAAAAATACAATATTGTTATCAGGCATATATTCATCCATATATTTCCTCATTATTGGACATCAAAAACATGCATAATAACAAGGCAGGGACATATTTTTCATACAATTATTAAATACATTTTACATTTCCCACGTAGCCGTGCTAAAAACCCAGGACACAGCTCCTGAACTGCTGGCACACAGACATGACAATCTGAAGAGACGATGCCAAGACTTTAAGTAAGTGAACATCATACTGACACACTCATGTTCTTACTTACCTACAGTAAAATGCACAGACTGTCATTACAGCTCAGACTTTTTTGCATTGTCAAAAGTTCAAGATAAACATCTAAACATGCATTTCATAACCTGGGACCGTAGTACAGAAACTTCTTAAGACTGTTTCTTAATTTCTTAAGACTGTTTAGACACTGTGACTTCAGTTAGGACTGACTTTAGGATAGAAGCTATTGCAGAACAGCCATTCTTAAGTATCCAAATAACTCCAGATGAGAAAACAGTATTATAGAAACATTCTAACTAGACTAAATCTCCTAAATACTGTCCTAACTTTAAGATAAACCCCAGAGGTGTCTTAACTTCTGTTTAACCATCTGTTTCTATGGTTACTGAGTGTCAGGCAGCACAGTTCACTGCAACTAGCATAACGATGATACATTTATCTACACTGAAAACAGTGATTTGACTTGTGAGGGTTTTAAAACCCCAGACGCTGCAGACTCGATCTCCACCGTTCCTCTTATTACCTTTGTGTGTTAATGATAACAGCTCGTCAGATACAATATTACAGTGATGGTGGTGAATAATGAGGAGACAGAGCTGAACATGTGTCTGTTTATCAGGAGGAGTAACGTTAGCTAAAGCGTTCGGGGAAACTGAAACTGCAGCACGAAGCGCTAAGACAATATTCTTAACTTTAAGCTTATCGTGCTTGAGGTTTTTTTTTTTGGCCTTTTTTACTTTCGCAACGGTAGCTAACATTAGCTATCTCGCTAACTAACTTCTTTATTTTGATTATGTGTTTACATTTCAGCTGTGCGCATATGGTCGGTTGCCACATAACAGACATGACAGTTGATTGTTGACTTCCATTGAGTAAGTTAAGATTTCCTAACTGGAGATAAGATGCTGTAAGACAACATTCTTGAATTAAGATCAGATTTGCTTCTGTTGCGCGCCAGTCCACTACTGTTCCTGCTCCACAGGCTACTCCAGTGTTGGGCTCTGTTCCGGCTCCACGCAGGGCTCCAATGTGGCTCCTGTGCTGGCTCCCCATCTTGATCTGGTGCTGGCTTCCCAAGCTGCTACTGTTCACCAGTGCTAGTTCTCCATGCAGCTCCTGTGCCAGGTCCTTGCCCTGATCTGGTGGCGACTTCCCAAGCCGCTGCTCTTCCAGTGCTCATTCTCTATGTGGCTCCTGTGTTGGCCTCCTGTCCTGTTCCTGTGCCGCCTTCCAGAACTTCTCCAGTGCCAGCTTTTAGGACTGCTGCCCCTGTGTCGAATCCCAGTGCTGGCTTTTTCGGAATACTCCTTCTGTGCTGGTTACCAGAGTTGCTCCTTTTGTTCCAGGCCAGTGTATGACTCTTCAGCTGGCTTCCAAGTGCCCCACTCAGCTGGACCACATTCCTGGTTCTGACCCCGTTCCCTCTGTTGACCTGGTTGATGGATTGCCCTTCCCTCTGGACCTCCAGCCAGTTGTGGCTGTGCCTCTTGATGGTCCGGGCCTGCTTTCTGTCTTGCACTTCCAGAGATCTCTCCCCCTCTGGGTTTCTAACCTGAGTACCAAGCCGTGTTTTCTTTCAGTTGTTTCTGTGTTTTGACCCCTGCTTTGCCTGTCTGGTTTCTGACTATGGATCTGTCTATGTTGCCTGCTTGTGTTTTGACCATTGCCTGGATGGATAATGAGTATTGGAAAGCCCTACCTTGCATTTGCAACCAACATGCAAGCCTCCAACACTTTAATGGCGAAGTGGACAAAGTCCCACCAAACTATTAAAACACATAACCATACATGTAACATGCTGCATTTTATTTCCAGAAAGTACTGATACACTGTCTTGCATTTTAGGTCTATGATACTTGTTCCTGAAGTTAGTTAAAACATGTAACAACACAATGCATTTTCAAAGGTCTGACTCGTTTATGTATTATGTATTTATGTCCTACAGGTGGAGTATACTTTCTCCAGGATTACCTCATGTTGTCCTCGCTGAAAGTCCAAGTGAGTTGCCACCTGAGGTCAGATTCTCTTTCACCAGAGAAAAAGAATTCCTGTTCACCAGGGGTGCAGCGTAAGTTCTCTGTGTTTGAATAATCAGCTGTCAGGTTTGCATATTGATGGTTCTCCTTTCATGCATCAATTTACATTTTTCACAGTTTCATGAAGCTGAAACTGGAATTCCCTTCAGACGACACATGGAACAGCATTGAAGAGCTCAATGGGATTCTCTCCTACAAGACAAAGACTTTTGGTAATTTACTTGCACCAGCGAATCCACGTCAAAGCAGCACTATGTAAGATTTTTTCTTATTAAAACTGAAAGAAGTATTATTAGTGCATCAGGAGGATTAATACAGACTAAAATGGTGAGTGTGCACTGTTGCAAGTTGCCCTGTAAAGCATGACATAATCATTTCAAAGTCAGAGGCGTTGAGTCGGGACACCATGTCATACATCTTTACCTGTTACATGCACATCACATGCCCAGGTGCAAAAAGGCTCAATGTTTAGGTCTCAAATACAAAATCAACATTTTACTGATAAAGTTATGATGACAATACTAAAGTTTGATAATTAACTCATATCCACAGAAGACGCGTCCTTTACCAAGTTTTAACTGAGTTTTCTTTGAATTCTCTTTGTATGCATCAGATTTATACACTTGGGGAAGGGGTTCGAAGCTCAACCCACATTAAAAAATGTTCTTCTGCGTGATGCATGCAATTACAGATTTCCACCAGAGAGGTCGCCAAATTCCCAAAACTTAATATGCCTCTTTCAGACATGCACAGTAACCCAGAACCTTTCTAGAAATTACCCGGAGGAGCTGTATGTGTGAAGGCAAATGTCCGAATTAGTTTATTGGACATGACCCGGACTTCTTCCTGTCAGCCCCCTACTACAAAGTCCCGGGTAATGTCCGAGTGAACCCATGTGTGAATAGAGCAGGTAATTTTCTGAAGAATTCAGAGTGGGCTTGTAGGATCTTTGTGCACAGAGTGTAGCTGCTTCATGGTCTTTTCTGCTTGCCTGTATATTTCTTTCCACACTTTCGTTGATATTGCGGAAATGTCCAAATACATGTAGTATTAATATTGATGCAAAAATAATCACGGATGAGTCGGTAGCCTTGTCCGCCATATTTGATGTGCTGTAAACAAAACTCTGAGATTTCCACTGTGTACATGTGCTGCCCTTCACCTAAACCACCCAGAACATGTCCTGTAGTGAGAACGTGTCTGACACTGAAAATCTCCGGCCGTACCCTACATGTGTGTAGCAATTCCAGCTAATGTCCAGACCTCATTTTCCAGACATTTTCCGAGGTTCATATGTGAAAACTGCCATAGTTATATCAAATCTCTTTTCTTTGTCATTTTCTTTGCAGAATATGTGCAGAAGAACTGGAGGAAGGATGAATTCTTTGGATACCAGTTTCTAAATGGTCTGAATCCCATGATCATCAAGTGCTGCTCAAAGCTGCCTGAGAAATTCCCAGTCACAAATGAAATGGTCAGAGGTTTTTTACCAGAGTCGAGCACGTTGGAATCGGAAATGGCGGTAAAAAAAAAAAAGACACCTTTTGACTTCTTCATGCAGTTAAATATAATTCTCTTACTATTGCAAATGGTCTACTTCAAAACATAGAAGCAGTCATATTTCTTTCTTAATTTATCTTCTGGAAAAACATATTGGTCCAAGTCATGTATTCTGCCAAGTCTGACAATTGTGCAAATACAAAAAAAGTTGTTGTGTAATTGATAAAAGTTTAAAAATGGATGTTTTCTTACTAATCTTTGAGTTATTATCTAGTTACCTCAAAATTTGTCTGTGGAGTCTGAGTATACATTCTAAAACCATCACGACTTTTAAGCACAGTTTAGCTACAAAGTTGAACAAATTGGTGTGACCTGACTTATTCTGACTTAAAGTGCTACAAACAGTAATTGCCTGACTATAACCGAATTTGAAACATTTTCAAAATAACATGAGGGTGTATTCTGAGTTTATTTTCAATTATATTACTTAATAATCACAATAACTGAAAGATGGAAATTCCTAATTTCCTAATTTGGTGCTTGGTTCCTTATTGCTCCATACCAATAAATTGTCTCAAAAATGCAGCACTGCCATGGGCCACTTGTGGCTCTCCATGAAACAAATCTCCCTTCCCATAAGAAGGTGTTCAGCTCCCTGTCCTTACTAAATCGAAGAACAACTTGAAACAATATCAAGTTTGTATCCTCAGCTTTGTAAGACACTGAAGTTCAAATGAATCAATTATTAATAACATTAGATGTGAATGAAGACCGAGTGCTTGGACCCCTATGATTGCTGCTTGCTGCTATATTTTTTTGTGCTCAACTGATCAGTTGATTTTTTGTGCTCAATCAGAGGGGAAATATCTTCCTCTGTGACTATGAAAGGCTGAGAGACCTTGAGGGAAATGAGATCAACAAGAAAAAGCAGTATCTGGCAGCTCCACTCTGCCTGCTTTTCAGCACTCAGGGCAAACTGATACCAATTGCCATCCAGGTAAGATGTCATTAGTTCAACTTGTTGTGGGGCCAGGGACCAGGTGTTTTTGGGAGGTGGGGTTGTCGGTGGTGGGGTGGGGGCAGGGCAAGGTTAGCCCACCTTCTCTAGTTTTGGAATAGATTAGAATAGGTTACACTGCTGTCAGCTATACATAAAAGACTTTCTGTAATTTCTACCACAAAGTTCTGTGTTAAAGCCAGAGTTTTATTCCACATCCCATGTTGAATTCTGGGTAAACATTTACAGCACAGGCAGATTATACTGTATAAAACTTCTAATTGTATGGCTACTGTAAAATAATTGTAACAAATACAACGCTGCATCAAAACATACAGTATTATCAGCTTTACCATAAAACTAGCTGCCAAAAGTTCTTTTCTGAAGCAGGAAAAGGACATTTGTCTTCCAGTTTCCACTATTAAATGCCAGGGGTGTAAAATGTACTGAAAATCCCTACTGAAGTACAAGTACTGTAACTGCAGTGAGTAAATGTACAGGAAGATGGAACACCTGCTAGGCATTGCTGCCAGTCGCACCTCCTCCGGTGCCCACGGGTCAGCTGCAGGGTCATCAGCCAGAAACCACCCTTGATTAACGTTTCACTCCTTTAATCCTGGAGCGTCTCCCTGTCACCCCCGACAGCTGATAGGTGTTACCCTCCGTGGCTGTTGTCGGGGTTAGTTGTTCTTTCCCCATCACTTGTCTCTCCTCCTCAGCCAGAGCTAAAAGCTCCCCCCCCTCAGCCACCTCCACTAGCTCTTTGGTTGCCTTCTTTAGGTTCCCTCTAGTCACTCCTGCGTCCCTCAAAAGGCATATGGTTGACAGCCCCACATAGCCTCGGCATCCAACCTCCACTGGATAGATGGTAGTCTTCCAGCCAGCCTCCCGGCACTCAGCAGCCAGTTCTGAGTACTTGGCCTTCCTGCGTTCCATCCCCTCCTCCGCTGGTATTGTGAGCTCAATGAGGAGCACAGACTTTGCCTTGGTGGACCATACCACTATGTCAGGGCGGAGAGATGTAGCAGTGATCTTGACCGGGAAACGGAGCTGCCTGACGAGGTCGACTGTCATGTTCCACTCCTGATCGGGGAAAATGGCCTAGGTGTTTCTCTTGGCCTGATGTGTTTCCTCCCCCCACCTTCCGTGATAATTTACTCAAATACAAAAAAGTACCGTTACAGAGAACACTGTACTGAGTACAGTAATGAGAGTAAATGTAGTTCCTAATTCACACCTCTGTTTAATGCTAGCTGAACCGTGAACGCTTGTAAATGCAATACATTTATACTATCGTGATGTTAATGTTATCTAGCTTTGTAAAAGCATGCTAGTTTCTATTTCTAATTTCAGCTAACCATGGGATTCTGTCTCTATGGGATTTGCAGCGTAATGTTAGCGCCAAGCTAACGGTGGTTTACATTCATTTTTCAACTCTAAGTGTAACTCTAGACAGCTCCAGCTTGTATACTGACTTTTGGAACTTTTAAGACATGAATGTAACATGATTGTATTTTGTATATTGCAGTTTTTCAGTGAATCCTTCAGTAATACTTCAACTGGAAGCATAACAATGAATATTAGAGGATCCTGTTAGCCTGTTAGCTTATGAAGCAACAGCTGTTTATATTTCTGAAAAACTGAAATGAATCATTTGATTATTTTATTAGGCTTTTGACTCTTAAAAACATATTTAAGATGCACTTTAACTACAATTTGAAAATAGTTGTTGTATTTTTTCATCTCCTAATGTGTCTGTGCATATCTATATAATATTTAGAAAATAATATATTTTTAATTCACTTTACAGTATACTGATGTGAATATGTAATTTTGTAAGTTTTGTATTGCATTTAAAAATACAGTACTGTGCCAGTGGCTGGCTTCCTCCAGAACTAAAGTTTTTCTCTTGATTAATGTAGCCTATTTGTAAGGTGTGGTGGGGTTTTTTTTTCAGTTGAACCAGGAGCCTGGAGCAGGGAGTCCCATCTTTCTGCCCTCCGACTCTGAGACTGATTGGTTGTTGGCGAAGATCTTTGTGAGAAATGCGGAGTTTAGTGAACATGAGCTGAACTTCCATCTGCTGCGCACTCACCTGCTGGGCGAGGTCTTCACTGTGGCCATGATACGCAACTTGCCTTCATGTCATCCCCTGTATAAGGTGACCTTTTTTCTCCAGCACTTACACAGCCTAACACTGCGTCCTTGTTTTTAACCAGTATCTCACTGTCAGCTCAGCTGGGATACAACTATAGCATGGATTTATCAAACTGGTACACTCAGCAAAAACAGCAGTACATTAGAAATGTGCACATCATGCATGGACAGTGGGTTAAGTTAGCTGTCCTGTTAGCATTGCTAACACAAGGCCTAGTTACCACCAACTGTGAGTTTCCTCTCGTTACCCCTTGGTCACCTGACTTGCGTACAGTCAAATCTCGTCTTGTATCTGTACGATCAAACTGAATCTTTAGCCCTCAGATTGGACTCTGAAACGATCGGAGACCGTCCGATATTATCAAACATGTTTGATATTTATGACTCAAAACCTTCACGAGTCCTGCAGTGTGAGAAGGTCAGAGATTTACCCAAGGAGCGATTCAAACAACAGCCAATCAGAGAGCTAGAAGAGCGGAAAAACAGGCGAAGAGATGTGCATGAACACCGCCTGAACAGCAGACCGTCAAAACACTCTCAGCTCAGCTGCCAGTTTGTAGTGAAACATTTTTCCAGCTCTCACTGTGATATCAGCGTTTCTCAAGCCCATAATAATCCCCAGTTTGCGCTTTCGATCTGCATAAAAGTACAAACAGGTCCAGTCCAGTACATTTAGCTTTGTTTGTATCTTGTGATCTGAGGAGTTCTGGGAGTTTGAGTTCTTATTCGTAGCCCAAACTCGTTGTGTGTGTTATTCTCTCTCTTTGCCCTGTCGTCTAGTGTGAGCACCATCATGACAAAAAGACAGCAAGTTCTGGGACAAACGAACGTTAAGTTTGTGACGCTCTCCGTTTTAGAAATCTGTCAAGCTTTTAAAAGTCGTGTAGTGAACGTCCAGCCCTACAGTAAAAGGCTTTTTCACTCTTCATCTTCCAGCTCCTGCTGCCCCACACTCGCTACACGCTCCAGATCAACATCATGGCCAGGAATCGGCTGATCTCGGTGGACGGGTATTTCGCTAAGGTGCACATCTTTGCTCTGACGATATTCTACACTACAGTGTAGACATCTAGTAATGTTTATAGCACTTGATAGCAGCAAGTTTTCTTTTTTAATGATGCTTTTCCTCACCATATAGTGCACTGCCATTGGGAAGTCTATGACCATCCTCCTGAAAAGAGCAGCCTCTTCTCTGACGTACAGCTCCCTCTGTCTGCCGGATGATATCAAGGAGAGGGGATTGGAGACGATTCCCAATTACTACTACAGAGATGATGGTCTGGACCTGTGGAACATCATTTACAAGTATGGGCAAGAAAATTCTTTGGGGGCAGATTTACTAACGTTCTGCACCTTTTACAGTTTGCCGCTAAAAAGTGGCTGTCGTGATTTACTAAATAGGCGCAATGGCCCTTTATTGTGCATAAAACGGTCAAACTGGTCAAAAATCTGGAGAAAATAAGTAATTTCAAGCTAATGAGTCACAGTTTTAATCTGTAATCTCCAGAGCAACTTACAGGGTGCTTTGTTGTCGTTCGGAGAATGTATGCTAGCTGGTCCAAACTACTCTTAAGCTACAAGGGCCTAGAAAGAAAGAGACAAAATACAAAATACAGTAGTAAGATATAACGTAAGTTTCCAATTAATGCCTTCACAAAGAGACTTTTGGAAGTTGAGGGATCAACAAAATATGTTTTTTTTAAACATCTTTTTTCGTACAAAAAGCATGCAAGTCAAACACACGGTTATATTGCACTATTCATATGTTAGTTATGAAGTTGCATCTGTGTTCATTTGCAAGAAACCTGCTAAAATGGCTGCCCCCACCAGCGCAAAGGGTCAGTAGACTGTCTGTAATTTGCGCCTCTCTTAGTAAATCTGCCCCTTTGTGAGCGATATGATCATAAGAAGGATGAAGTGTTTATCATTATCGCTTTAGCAATAACTTTCTTTCTTCTCTAGGTTTGTGTTTGGATTTGTGTCGCATTACTACAGCGATCAAGACGTCCAGGAAGACAAGGAGCTACAGGCTTGGCTTACCGAGATAAGAGAAAACGCCTTACTGGACAACAGTGAAGCTGGTATGTTTTTGTTGTTGTTGTTGTTTTTCTTTGTGTATTTGTTTCCAAATCCTGCTTTAAAACCTTTCCACTCACCTCCCTTTAAGGATTTCCAGAGGATTTCTCCACCGTCAAAGAGCTGGCTAAGTTTGTGACCATGGTGATCTTCACAGTGTCTGTCCAACATGCTGCGGTCAACAACGGCCAGGTTTTGAAATATTTTGCCTGAATTTAGATCTAATATACTAATGTAAACAATACTGCCTGACCCTTATACCACCTCTGCCCTCTCAGTTTGACTTCGGGGGATGGATGCCTAACTTTCCAAGCTCTCTCCAATGTCCACCACCTAGCCATAAAGGAAGCACCACAAAGGACTTCCTTCTTGCGGCCTTACCTGATGTCAGAACCACGGTTCACACAATGGCTGTTGTCTACTTGCTGAGCCAGGGCTCCTCTGATCGGGTGAGTCTATACACTCCACTACAATGCACAAATAGCACCAAAGGACATGATGATGAATGTAAAATAAAGGAACGGAAAAGGTGAGAAAACAGATCAGATCAGAACATGATAAGATCTTTATCCTGAGTGCTTTTCATCACTGACCTATGACAGAATTCGCAGATAATCCAATGACCTTAATCTGTTCATCAGTGCTAAATAAGCCATAAACATTGTTCTGTTGTACTTTCTCAGTATCCGCTTGGACATTACCCCGAAGAGCTGTTCAGTGAGGAGACGGCACTGAAACTGATAACCCAGTTTAAAAAAGATCTGCAAGATCTTGAGAAGAAAATTGATACCAGGAACAAGAAGCTTGATCTGCCGTACACATACCTGAACCCACGAAATGTGGACAACAGTGTTGCCATTTAGAGTGAGGGTCTCAAAAGAGTCTTTGACTTGATCATGTGTTTTTCTTCTGTTAGCACTAACCACATCACTAACCACATCCCTGACCACTCCTTAACGTACAGAACCCTCAACAAATATCAGCACCCATCAGAGCATGAACAAAATGGGCTGTAAAAATGACTTTATTTACTATTTATTATTACTATTTCTATTCCTACTATCCTTTTTTGTGCCACAGTTGTTGGCACTGCTTCATTTAATCCTTTGTGCCGCCTCCCTTTGCCAAGATAACAGGTCTGAGTCTTCTCCTATTATGCTTAATGAGACTGGAGAACACATGTTGAAGGATCTGAGACCAGTCCTCCATACAGAACCTCTCCAGATCCTTCAGATTCTGAGATCCATGCATGAGGACTCTCCTTTTCAGCTCATCCCACAGGTTTTCTATGGGGTTTAGGTCATTGGACTGGGAAGGCCATGGCAAAACCTTAATTCTGTGGTCAGTGAGTGACTGTTATGTTAATTTTGAGCTGTGTTTTGGATCATTGTCCTGCTGAAAGATCTAATCACAGCCCAGTTTAAGCTTCCTGGCTAAGGCAGGTTTTGATTTAATATCTGCTGGTAGTTGATGGGGTCCATGATAGTATGTATCTGAACAAGATGTTCAGGGCCTTTAGAAGACAAACAGCCCTTCTTTGGCCACTTGAACCATGCTCCTCACTGTATGTGGGGTCAGTATAGACATACGTCCTCTTCCCAGCAGATTCTTAACATCTCCAGTTGTTTTACGCTTCTTAATTGTTGCCCTGATAGTGGAAATGGGCAGTTTCGACTCCTTGGCTATTTTTTTGGCCATTTTCCAATTTGTGCAGCTCAACAACCTTTTATCAGACATCACTGCTGTTTTCTCTGGTCTTTCTCATAGTGATGGATGACTGAGGGAATCTGGCCTGTGTGTCACCTCATAGTTATACCCCAGCGAAAGTCATGTCATTTAAGTGTTTGTAACTCATGAGAACTTCTGAATTGTCTATATTTATAGAAATTTGAGAAGTTAAACATGAATTTCATAAAAAAGTTTTTTTTCTCCCTTCCATTGTTGTACTTCAAATAAAGGTCAGATCTTGGTTAATGTTTTGAAGGAATGATCAAAAGCATAAGCTATAAAGAACTTTTTTTACAGCCTGTTTTACTTATGTTACCAGAGGCGCCAGTATTTCTGGAAAGACTTGATCATATGGAAAGGCCTTTTGAGAGGTGAAGGGTTGTCTCTTTTAGTACTAACAAATAACCTATAATACCATGAAATGTTTATGCAAGGAAAAAAAAAACATTTGATTTTGTTTACTTATCACTATATATTAATGTGTTCTGTTATATTTCAACAATAAATTTAACAGAAACAGAAAAGAAAGTCGACCATAATTATTTTGTTCAATGGCTTTAACACATTATAACCCTCACAGTTCATCACAACTGTTTCTTGAAATCACAGTTGTTTCTTAAAGGGGAATTCCACTGACTTTTTACTGATTTGCAGTGGTTGAGCTGTAATCAAAGTCATTCACGACATCTTACCAAGATGTTGTTATAGTGATGCTGATAGGAACCAGGTGTTGTGATGTATACAATGCAAATATAGGCATTTTATTTACTATCCCAAACTATCAATGAACACGTGTCTCCTGAATTTTCAAATATAATTTTGATGTAAAACAGCGATAAATTGGAAGAAAATAAGTAACTATTGTGTCTCACAACACCCTGCATGTACCTCTCCACAATGAATGGGTGTAAAAAATATGTTGCAGTCCAAAACCTTCTCAAAAATAATGTGAAGCAGTGTCTCGAGCATCGGACAGTGGATTTGTAACCATTTCAATGTAACCATCTGTTAGGGAGCTTTTAGAGGCATTAAATCTGGCTCCAGTCACCACCACTGTTAACAATTCTGAGATTGTAAGTTTCTCTGAAATAGAGAATTTCACATCAAAACACTCTGAATCACTCTGTTTATATCTGAATCATTTAATAACGCAGAAATTTTGAATAAATGGTGGAATTCCGGGCGGCACGGTGGCGCAGTGGGTAGCGCTGTCGCCTCACAGCAAGAAGGGCCTGGGTTCGATTCCCGGCCGGGTGACCAGGGTCGTTTCTGTGTGGAGTTTGCATGTTCTCCCCAGGTCTGCGTGGGTTTCCTCCCACAGTCCAAAAACATGCAGTCAGGCCAATTGGACATGCTAAATTGCCCTGAGGTGTGAGTGTGTGTGTGGATGTATGCGTCTGTTTGTCTGCCCTGCGATGGACTGGCGACCTGTCCAGGGTGTATCCTGCTTTCTGCCCGATGACAGCTGGGATAGGCTCCAGCACCCCACCGTGACCCAGAAGGATAAGCAGTTTAGATGATGGATGGTGGAATTCCCCTTTAACTACAGAGAACACACATGCACACACACACACAGATGTTCCCCACCATCCCAGAATCCAGCATAGAGAGGCTGAGTGAATGAGGTGTGGACTGTGTGTAGGAGGGTCATTGTGATCCACATACACTCCTATTCTGGAGGATGATGAGGCTGAATGTAACAGCGTCCACTCACACTCTCCTTACACAACACCTGCTGTCTGTGGCAAATCTCTCTGGATGATCAGAGTAACGCTGATTTATCTATCTGTTTGTCGTCACTCTGTTCTCCTCAGACTGAGGTAAGGATGCTCTGTGTTGGGATCCAGATCCATTTTATTTATTTATTTATTTTGATTCACAGAATCCAGCTACTTAAAGAAACTGCACTTATCAACATTTTCCTCCATCTACATATCTACAACCTTGTGTTTCCCAAAAAGTAACTTTACACAAAAAGCAAAAAACTTTATTAGTAAACGTAAGTTAATAAAGCAATAAGCCACGAGAGGCCGAGTTTTAGAACACCCTTCCCCATGATAAAATCGCAGTAACGTGCTGCCTCAAGTGACTTATTGCTTTTATAAAACGGTGGCTAACATAAAATATGGTAAAACACACATTTTTTCAGAAAATAATTGAAGTTATTATTAATAGTAATTGACATAAACAAGTATTCCGCCAAGACACGTAGGACATTTAGCGTGTGCTATCAAAGCTGTGTTTGCTAGTCATGTACTGGCTAGCGCTAAAATTGTCAGAACAGTGCTGAACTACTGAAACAGACACTACTGAAAGATTTAGGAAAGTTTGGGCAGTGTTGTGTTTGTTTTGTTAGTGACAAAATGGATCGTTCAGTCATTTATGTTAAAAAAAATGAACGTAAGTACGTTATAGGGTCACTTAGATCAAAAGGATTTTAGTCTAAATTCCATGTCAGTTAAAAGTCAAATGTGCTTTCAACTCCATATGAATCCACATACAAGGTTGAGTAGAAACAGAATACACGGAACAGCATTAGGTAGTCAGGACACAATTAAAGCGTAACTGTATTGCTTTCAAATTACATAAAAAGGCAGTAATTAGATTACAGATACATTATGAAAATAGAATGAATTTCCTGCAAGATTTCATTAAAACTGCATACAAACACGCTTGTCGGGTTAGAGAACCAGCCTTGTGACCGGAAGGTCGCCAGTTCGATCCCCTCAGCTGACAGTACGTGACTGCCCTTAAGCAAGGCACCTAACCCCCAACTGCCCCCCGGGCACTGTGGACAGGACTGCCCACCGCTCTGGGCAAGTGTGCTCACTGCCCCCTAGTGTGTGTCTGTTCACTAGTGTGTATGTGGTGTTTCACTGCATGGACGGGTTAAATGGGGAGGTCTAATTCCGATGTGTTCAGACACAGTTGGCTAAAAGGTTAATTTCATTCATTCATATGTCACATGAATGTTGCTGATTTGAAGAGTTTTTCATTTTGTGAATTTTAACTTCCCAGATTTTAATGATGAAGTGAGCTAACATTAACTAACAGATCCAAAACAGTTCTTGTGTGCAGTAAAGTTGGTTTCATTTTCGCATATATAATTTCTTTTTTCAGTACTTTTAGAATGGCGCGGGCAAAATGTTAAAATGTGCAAAAGTTCTCTTGCAACTAATGAATGCAATTCATACTTTTTTTTTTCATTTTTTTTATTACATACATGTTCCACACACAAGTCCATATTTGTTAAATAAAGCATCAGCATCATTAACTAATTCAGAACAGCGCCAACCAGAATAAAAGAAATGCATGTATGAAATCATGTAAGGGGAATGATAGACAGCAGTATTGAGAAAGAATGGCTTCAGTGTAGAAGAGCTTCCCATGGAACATAGCATAGTGTACCATGAGAACATATTAGAAGAAATGGGAGGGGGGATAGCAGCAATTTCACATTGGATGTTCTTCCGGATGGCATCCATCATGAGAAGCGATCAGCGGTCGTTTCCAGTTTCCGTACCATCTTCTGAACAACACGTTTACACAGCAGGTAAAAGTGGCCCAAATCCGATTTTCCCACCAAATCTGATTTTTTTGTTTGGCTGGTCAAATTGTCTTTTAAATGTGACCTGCTTGTGACATCAGTCTGAACAGATCAGCTCCTAAACCGCCCCGCATGCGCAAAAGAACAATGCTTCACGTGGCTCATCCAGAGGTAAACAATCATGACGGCCAGCGAACGCCAATCGCTCCCGGAGAGTTCAGTTTCGTCTTCGCCAGCATCACAGGGGCGATTATTCGCATTTGGCCGTTTCGTACGAAACCTCTTCGAACACAGAGCGGTTGCGATGAGTCTCTTCTAACTTTTTGGTACAGAAACATCAGCCCAAATGTTTAAGAGTCTCAGCAGCGTGAAATTATGATGAATGTTGAGTAGGACTGACGTAAAAGTCGCATGAATTCCGATCTGTCGCATCGCTGCACATCGGTTACGTATCGGATTTCAGTACCACATATGAAAGCACGTGAAATCAGAATTGAAAATGTCAGATTCAGTGCGTTTTTTGCTCTTCACACTGACACACAGACACACATCTGTGTCACATATGAAGAAAAAGATGGGATTTTTACCACTTTTACCTGTAAACATAGCCTTTGAGGGTACATCACGAATGTTTCTTCCTAAATTCACTCTGATATCACTTAAACGAATTGATGACCCAATAGGTTCGCACCATGAAGACACGCTGCTGAATACTGTACACCACCATCCTGATGAGAAGTCGAGTGACTGAGTGAAGGGCTACAGGGGTATGCACCCGGAACTTGCAAAGGGAGGTTAAACGTAGCTCAACGCTCTGATTCAGGGGCATCCCGGCTTGTTCGAAGCTCCATATACTGGAGAGCACATTTCACGTTGTTTTGTTCAGATTGCTTCATCCTATCGAGAGTTATTACAGAATATTCAGGGCCTCTTTCGAGTGAATCTCCCTGTATAACATGCTTTTAATATCTTGGATCACATAATTTTACACTTGTTCCAAAACCACGAACCCAGAATCCAGCATAGAGAGGCTGAGTGAATGTGGTGTGGACTGTGTGTAGGAGGGTCATTGTGTCAGAGACACTGTAGAAGGAAAGAGTTCCTGCACTGTGATCCACATACACTCCTATTCTGGAGGATGAAGAGGCTGAGATCTCAGTCCCGACATTGTTGTGCCAGAAAGAGAAGAACGAAGAACAATCCAGACACCAGGATTGATTGTTGAGTCCAAACCTGCTCTCATGACCATTTCCTTTCCTGCTGATTCCTTTATATGAGACTGCTATGGTCACTCCCAATTCCTCACTGCTCCACTCAACCTCCCAGTAACAGCGTCCACTCACACTCTCTCTACACAACACCTGAAACCATTGGTTAAATCTCTCTGGATGATCAAACAATGGCTGGGTACATCCACCCCTTGTCACCACTCTGTTCTCCTCAGACAGAATGAGGATACGATGTGCTGTGTTGGGATCCAGAGTCAGATGACGGTAATCTAGAAAAAAAAAGAAAGAATGTGAACATTGTAGGTGTTTATACACAGTATGTAATTATTTAGGGAAAAAAAAAACATGTATGTGTTTGTTTCTCTTCTTGAACATTTATACACTGACATGCCAAAAGTCACGGGATAGCAGTACCTAAATTGATAATGAAGTGGCGTTACCTCAGGGGACGGCTTGGGAATGCCCACACCTGTAAAAGTTGTGAGGTGTTATCTTGTGAGTGAGGTTGAACACTGGCCAGCGTGCTCACAGCAACAACGTGGCATGACGGATGGGAAATTCCATTGCCGAAGTTGTACAAGCATTTAACATTCCTTGATCCACGTGTGAACTGGGAGTATGCCATAGAAGGCATTACCATGCACAGTGGACAGCGCAGTGGCCGCCCAGGGGTGCTTAATGATCAATAGAATTGTCTGTGCGAACAGACAATCGACCCACACGCATATCCCGCAGGTCAGTGCAGCGTTCTTCAGTTTCCATGGGATGAGAAAGCAGAAGACCCACCAGAGTGCCTCTGTTAACACCACGACACCAGACACAGCGCCTACCCTGATCTTGTGAGGTTGCTAACTGGACCCTAGAAGGCTGGCAACATGTGGCGTGGTCCGATGAGTCATGGTATCAATTGTATTGGGCTGATGGTAGGGTTTGTGTGGCGTAGACCCCATGAAGCCATGGACCCCCACTGTCAGCAAGACACTGTGCAGGCTGGTGGTGGTTCCATACTGGTGTGGGGTGTGTTCTCATGACATAAGTCAATTGGTCCACCTGAACACGTCACTGACTGGTGAGCGCTACATTTCACTGCTTGGTCACCATTTGCAGCCCTTCCTAAACTTTATGTACCCCCACAATGATGGGACATTCCAGCAGGATAATGCATCATGCCATCGGGCCCAAGTTGTCCAGAATTGGTTCTAGGAGCATTCTTGAGAGTTCTGATGAATGATATGGTCTGCACGTTTGCCCCAACCGAGTCTTTGTGGGATGTGGTGAAGAGGTCCATTCATCCAGACGGCATGGCTCAACATCCCTCCAGACGTCTTCTGTCCACTTGTCGAATCGATGCCATGTCGAGTTGCTTAACTTTGCGTGGCTAGAGGGGGTCTTACATGATACAAGTTCCTGTCCTATGACTTTTGGCATATCAGTGTATACCATAGTTTAAATGTTACCCCATGTCCCAAAGTAAAAATGGTACGTTCAGATTTAGACAGGTAATAAAAACGTGTTTGTGTGTATTAGTGCAGTTGTATTGTGTGAGACAAAACATCTGGATTTTGAACAGTAGATAAACTTACATTAAAAAAATAGAAAATGAACAGCATTTTATTCACATAAGTTCACCCAGGAAAAGTATAACAATCTGTGCTTGAAAAATAAATGGGGGTCCACACATCAGCACAGCATGCACTATACAGACAGGCAACAAATAACTTGGTTTATACCTTATGACTACACAAACCAACCCATATCGCAGGAGCACACAAGAAAAAGCAAATTCAGTCTTCTTGGGTTAACTGTATGTTATTAATGGTAACATCCATCACCTAACAACCACCTGCAAGACGTGGTAGACCACCAAAACTGTCCCCATCAGATGAACAGCACTTCAACAGTGTTTCTGTCCATCCTTCCACTATGAGAAGACAACTCAGCATAATGGGTCTGAAAGGATGTGTAGCTGTCAAGAAGCCTCACTGAGAAAAGGAGATGGACACATCAAACAAAGAAGCTGAACTGACCACCCCAGAGTCCAGACCTCAACATCACTGAAAGTGTGTATGACTTGGATCGTTAGAGGCAGAAAGTGACGCCAACTTCGAAGACTGAACTTTGGTGGTGTGGAAAAATATCCCTGCAGATTTCTTGGAAAAACAGAAAGAGGCTGAAGAGGCTGCTTTAACCTCATTTTTCCCAAAGGTCAACTGAGGGTGCAGGATTTCAAACTGAGGGTGCAAAGCATGCACTCCGAGACTTTTTATAGACTACAAACTATCAACCTCAAAATAGTTTATATTCAAAGGAACCCAAATGAGATGTGTACACTAAAAACCAAATGTTTTTACTGCCTGAATGCTTCTGTAAAGAGCCGTTATATGCAAATATCGACTCTGTGTGTGTGTGTGTGTGTGTGTGTGTGTGTGTGTGTGTGTGTGTGTGTTGTATACATACACTGTAGAAAATCTTCTCTTGTCTTTGGTTCTGAGCGTAACAATATCGTAGTCGGGGCATCTGTAAATACACAAAAAAACAACATGTTAAAAAAGCTCTATAAACTCTTTAAGTGTTTGGAGTGATACAGTTTGTTACCTCTGACTGAAGAATCTCTCTCTGACTCTCACTTTGTCTGTGTGTCTGTCTCTCTTATATTATTATCTATATTAATATCTTTGGTTTAAATAAAATCATAATATAATCCTTTTAAATATCTAAGGTCTAAACAGCAGCACTGCTGTGTCTGATCCGCTCGTACCAGCACAACACACACTAACACACCACCACCACGTCAGTGTTACTGCAGTGCTGAGAATGATCCAACACCCAAATAGTACCTGCTCTTTGAGGGTCCATGGGGGTCCTGACCACTGAAGAACAGGGTAAAAGGGGGCTAACAAAATATGCAGAGAAACAGATGGACTACAGTCTGTAACTGTAGAACTACAAAGTGCACCTATGTAGTAAGTGGAGCTGAAAAAAATGGACAATAAGCATAAAAACAAAGAGGGGGTCTTAATGTTACGCCTGATTGGTGTGTATATATATATATATATATATATATATATATATATATATATATATATATACCACAAAAGTAAACAATTTCTATTAGTCTTGGGAGATCTCATAGGTTTCTTATTTTGAGAAACAGCAATACAAAATTCCTTCACTATGTTTCTTCTCTTACCATGTGGAGAGATTTTACTGAATTCCTGCTTGCAGAATTCCTCTAGTCTCTCTTTCAGATCAGAGAGAGATTTCCTCACTCCATCAAATGAGGGATGTTGATGGACAGTGATGCTGGGTGAGTCCTCAGATCCAGAAGAGACACAGAGAGACTGGAAACTCTACAGAGAGAAAAGTGTAATGCAGAAATCAGACAGATATTACTGTTTCCTTAGTGAACTTTAAAAGGAAGAGTTTCAGAACCTTTCTGAGTTCCAGGTCTCTCTGTAGATCAGACAGTGATTGTTACCTGGAGGAAATGTATGTGATCCTCTGTGTGTGAAAGCTGCTCCAGCTCAGTGTCTCTCCTCTTTAGATCAGCAATCTCCTGCTTCAGTTGCTCCAGGAGTTCTTCAGCTCCACTCAGTTCAGCCTCCTCCTGAGCTCTGATCAGCTCTGTTACCTCAGAGCGCTTTTTCTCAATGGAGCGGATCAGCTCAGTAAAGATCCTCTCACTGTCCTCCACTGCTGCCCGTGCAGAGCGCTGTTATAACACAGAGACATAATTAAGGTCTATTTAAAGCTCAAGTATCATTTACTCACTGTGAACGTAGATCAGTGTTACCCAGCCCAGTTCTCTAGGATTTCAAGCAACCCACATTTTTGCTCTATCCCAGTTGTTAAGGGGGTCCCAACTACCAGTCTAGAACAGAAAGTTGGACTGAGTTGGTTTGGGAAGCTCATAGGTGAAGTTGAATGTGAATCCTGATCCAAAATCAGATTTGGATCTGAATCAGAAACTAGGTGATGTAATATTTAGCCAGGGTGGTGATGCCAACTTATTAGGCACTGAGCAGCCTGGTGGTGCTTAAATGGCCAGATGTAGCTTACAAATTACTATGCTTTGCAAACAAGGCAAAGCCAACTTTACCCAGAAGCCTCCAAGACCAAATGCAACCATGGCCCCAAGTTCAAAAGAAAACTGTGATTGGACGGTGATTATTTACCACAGTAGAATGCAATGTGTTGAATGAACTGTAATATAATGAAATTTAATGCTTCATGTCATACCAAAAACTCCCTTCTTGGTCGCAACTGTAAACATGAATACCAAAATATATCATTACGATCAGGTTTTGGTCAAAATTCTAGTCAAATATTGTGGTCGTGCTGGCAACCATGTTGTTAATGCAATAATACACTCAAGGCCATGATATATCTCCAATACACCACGGCTATGTGCATATAAAGCACTTTACTTTGCATTCCTGCTAACACTTGTTATTCCCAGTGGACAACATAGATGTGATGTGTCTTTCGTGTTGAATTCTCATTGCAATGTGAAATGACCCAAATACAACCAGTTTTCCACCAACTTTTTTGGAGATTTGAGTTGAGAAAACCACGTCAATATAATGTTGAAATCCATCTGAACCATTTTGTTGAATACTGGTTGAGCAAGCAGTTAGAAACGGTGCCAAATGGTTTCATTTTAAATATAAATAAATTTTGGAATTATACTGGTGTGTAAACATCAACATCATACAGTGTAACTGTCAATTTTCTGCCTTTAACATTGTACAGTTTCTCAAATCCTTCATAAACTTGAGGCACATTTAAATTACTCAGGGTGACAGTTCAGTTAATCTGGTCAGCACTGCTTACCAGTAACAATCCAGAGTCAGTCAAAACTCTTGAGACTTGAGTTCTATGGTAAATCAAAAAGGTAAGGTAAATTAGAACATCCTAACAGTTGGCAAGGTGTTCCTTTCATCAAATGCTGGTCCTTTTTTCCTCTAAACCTACCTTTGATGACTGTGACCAAAACATTCAATTTTTAGTTCATCAGTCCACAGCACTTGTTTCCTAAATGGCTCTGGATTGTCTAGATGTTGTTTTGCATACTTCAGATACTGAATTTAATGTTGAGGTTGCAGGTAAGGTTTCCTTCTAATAGCACTTCACTGCAGATTATGTTTGTGCAAGCAATGCTGCACAACAGAACAGTGTACCACCATTCTTGTGTCAGCTAAACCTTTCTGCAGGTCTTCTGCTGCCATATGGGGGTTTTGCTTTACCTTTCTTGTCTATGAGCAGTTCTAAGACTTCCAGATTTTGCCTTGGCTTCCATAGTTCCCCCTAACTGCTATTTCTTAATAGCATTTTGGACAGTGGCAATTGCAAGCTGGAAGTGTTTTAAAATCTTATTATAGTCTCCCCCTGTTTTGTAGGAATAAACTACCTTCATTTTTAGATCCCCAGCCAACGGCTTAGAGGGGCCCATGGTTGTTGGGTGTTAGCACACGGTTGGAAGTCAGATAATTTATTATGCTCTGGAACTGTCATCAGCTGACAATTCCTAATGACAATTCCTTTGTATATGACACAATAACTATGTTTTCTATGTTTTAATTAACTGTGTATTAATATTTCGCTGCTGTCGGAACAAAACCTCGTATCTCCAAAATGACAGCATTAGAGGAGAAGGAAAAAACATACTTTACTTTTAATGTAAGTCAATGGAACCAGATTTTTTTCCAAGTAATTCTGGGTCATTTTATTTGGTCCATTCATAATGAAATGTTAACACAATGTAAAGAACACAATGTAAGGTGAATCATTTGTGAATGATTCACCTGCAAGATGCGACAGAAGCCGAGAATGACAAGATCTTTAATTCAGTGTTTTCACTCCAGGCTTGGAGCCGCTGCACTGTATAGTTTAGTGTTTCTCTCTGCTGTTCACACCTCGTTCAGCTCAAGAAGGTATTTATTAGCTAATAATATCAGGTATTTCTCCCTTCAACAACAAAATGTGAAATTTGACCAGGGAGGCCTAACTTGCAGCTCTAGCTGCTCCAGCTCACTACTCACCTTAAGAGTGTTCATAGCCTGTTTCTGCTTCTTCATATTTTTCTGTTTCTCCTGGATTTTCTGCCGGATTTTCCTTTGCATCTTCTTAAGCTGAGCCTGGGGGTAAAGAAATGATATTAAGATGTTTATTCTTGAGACTGGTGACCTGTCCAGGGTGTATCCTGCCTTCCACCCAATGACTGTTGGGATAGGCTCCGGTTCCCCCTGCGACCCAGAAGGATAAGCGGCTTAGAAGATGTGTGTGTGTGTTTATCCTTTATGAACTAGATGTGTGTCATGGATCCTCTGGCCAGATATGGAACTCCAGTTCCACCCTGACCCTGTTCCCTTACCCTATATTTCACCTTTGTTTACATTGCACTGTCCTGTCAACATTGTACAGCAGGTCCAACATCCAACTACTTCTGGCTTCTGGTCATTAGAGTTAAATATTAATGAAGATATTGGGTGTTGGTAGGCTAAACATTTGCTAATATGTCTGACTGGTTAATTATTATAGCTAGATAAGGATATATTTGCTTGGCTTTTATAGAAGCACAAACACGGTTTTGTAACCAATAGAAAAAATATAAGAAAAAAGAAACAATTAGAATTAATAAATCTTACTAAAGTTTTCTCAAGGTCTCACCTGTTTTTGGGTTCTCTCTACTGCAGCTGCAGCTATATTGTGGCCTTCATGGTCATGCATCGTACACAAATAGCAGATGCAGCTGTGGTCAGTACGACAGTAGATCTCAATCAGTTTATCATGCTGAGAGCAGATCTTCTCCTGTAGTTTTGAAGAGGCTGTAACCAGCTTGTGTTTGATCAAGGCTGGAATTTCCAGATGAGGTTTAAGATGAGCTTCACAAAGAGACGCTACACACACCAAACAGGACTTGATGGCTTTGCGTTTTCTCCCAGTGCAGAAATCACACTCCACATCTCCAGGTCCAGCGTAACAGTGAGCAGGAGAAGCAGCTTGGAGTTCTGTCTTCTTCAGTTTCTCCACCACTTCAGCCAGCATGTTGTTTCTGCGTAGAACAGGCCTTGGAGTGAAGGTCTCTCTGCACTGGGGGCAGCTGTAGACCCCCCACTGATCATCCTGATCCCAGTGTCCATTAATACACACCATACAGTAACTGTGTCCACAGGAAGTCGTTACTGGATCCTTCAGCAGATCCAGACAGACTGGACAGCTGAACTGGTCCTGATCTACTGAAATACTGGCCTCTGCCATTTTCCTGCACTCACAGCCTGAGAGAGAGCAGCTCTCTGAGATCAGTTTCGTTTCCTCTGAACTGAGCAGGAGTGGCTTCCTGGTTCTGTGTTTGGTGGAGTGTCACAGGGAGAAGGAGTGGTGTGAGAGGAAGAGGAGGAGACTGAGGAAAACAGAGGAAGACAGAGTCTGGATCAGTTTCAAAGCTGTGCAAAGATTTTCCCGAGATCTTCAAAGTAGCATTCCAAAATTATGAATACACCATAAATGTCCAGTGTTGCTCAAACTCAAAAAGTCCCCGTGGCATGTTCTACTCACACGCGTGTCCATTTGTCAGTAACCAGTGGCCAAAGCCATGGTGAAATCCCACCAGGGTCTCCCCAAGCTGGTCCATCATTCTTCAATCCAGGGATGTATGTAAGCATCTTTGGAGCACTTTGGAGCGTTTTCAGTAAATGAGCAAAAACGGTCAACTGCCATCCTTCTTCATTAACATAGTCCACGCTACACATTTCATGATACGGTTTCATAGTTAGTGGGTAACCATTTAGGGATTAAGCAAGGACAAAATGATGAGTGCTGCATTAACTCCTTAGTCATTTAAGTGTTAACTACCGAAAAATACAGTTTAATTACTTTCTAGGTAGTAGTACACAAATGATTAGGGTGGATCAGTATTAATTAAACAACAGTTCCTAAATCGCAAACATCTCCTATAAAGAACTACATACTATGGCTATTTTTTAAGTACCATATATTAATTATCACACCAAAAGTGCTCAATTTATGAAAAGTAATCAAGTATTTTACTGTTTATTAAATAACCAAACACAGAATAAAAATTGCATTACAATTAGATGAAACTGTTAAAGATTCAATTCTGAATGAAAATCAAAATGCAAAGACAAAAGAGACCAAACGAAGGAAAACCAGTGCACACAAAAACATATTCAGTCATCTGTCATCACTGTTTGGTTTCAAATGCATTCAAGAGAATGGCATTATCATTATCTGCTACGTATCCTAACCCTAACCCTCCAAACTGAAAAACCAATTAGCTGGCTGACTAATCTTAGCTAAAAAAGTAGCTAGGCTAGTATGTCACTGTTGTCAGAAGAAAACCTCACATCTCCAAAATGGTAACTTTACCGGAGAAGGAAAAAACCTACTTTACTTTTAATGTAAGTCAATGGAACCAGACTTTTTTCAAATCATTTTGGACCATTTCTTTTAGTCTGTTCTTCATTAAATTTACACACAATGTAAAAGGTATTTTCAAATTATGTCAAAAACTGACTTCCGACAGCAGCGATGTGCTTTTTCACTTTGTTCTGTAAAAAAAGGAAGCATGATAGTTCTTAATTAAACTTAAAGATGCTGCATATATACTCTGAGTGCCCGTTAACTGTCTACTTTGGCTAATGTTAGCTAACATTCAAGATCAGCAGTAAAACTACTATGGTAGTTTTGTCTCCTCCCAACCTTCAGACAAGAGGTTGACAGCAAAATACCAGACAAGTGTTTTATTTTCTTTAAACGTTTTAACATGTCATTGTCCAAATACCATTTTCATAAACAAATTTAAAAAACAGTAATTTAATTTCAATTTATCTTTATTGCATCGAGTCCTTACAGTGCTTTGAAAAAGCATTTGCCCCCCTATTTTTGCATATTAGTCACAATTGTTCCAGATCTACAAACAAAATGTAATATAACACAGACAACCTGAGCAACAAAATACAGTTTTAATTTTATTTATTTAATTTTTTGAAGGAAAAAAAGTTATCCAACACCAACTGGCCTTGTGTGAAAAAGTAATTGCCCCCTTAGCTACTTAACCAACCAGTTTAACCAACAAATTTGGTTGATAACTGGGATCAGTTAAACTAGACACACACAGGCTTGATTACTGCCAGCCCTTTCGAATGTACACATCACTTAAATAGAACCCTTCCAACAATGTTATTAAGTTTAGAGGGACAGTTACTTTTTCACATGGGTGACACAGGTGTTGCAGAACCTTTTCCTTCAGTAAATGAAGTTACCATTTAAACCAGGAGTGTCAAACTCAACCACTAGAAGGGCCACATTAAAATGGGCCAAGACCTGAATGGGCCTTTGATTCTTCAAAATATGCCAAAACTGCAACAGCAAAATAGGCACTGAATACTTATTCAGAAATAATTATAAATAAAAACAAATATATATTTCTTTAAAAACTGGATATTTGCTTGAACTAGACACCAGGCATCTTTTCTTTTTGTGTATCCACTGGACCATGGATTGTTTTTGGGGAAGGGGGTCAGAATGCACACAATGTTGCATGCTGGGGACTGTAGCACATCTCAGGGTGAAATGGGCTAATAAGAACAGTATATTTAAATGATTTAGCGGGCCAAATAGGACTGTCCCACGGGCCTGACTTGGCCCGCGGGCCTTGTGTTTGACAGATGGGATTTAAACACTGGGTTCTGTCTTTCCTCATTAGTAATGGTCATTGTAATCTGCGTTGGTGGTTAACATGGCCAAGGAGGTCTGAACATACAGGACTGGGATCAGTGGATGTGGGGAAAATGGTGTATTTGAAGTAAACCAGCAATGTGTCAATATACTACATTCCTTTTCCCACAAAAATGTGCAACCTCTCTGTGAAAGCTGAAAAAAAGGAGATCCAGTTTTAGAAATGCTTAATATCTCTTGTGAAAACACAGCTTTACTCATGTGAATGAATAGTTTTGGTGCTTGAAATGGGTTTACCAAAGACTTAGGTTCACAACAGTAGTGGAATGTATGAATAAAATAGTAAACAAGATGGAACTGTTTGAACCATATTTCTGCACAGTATTATCACAAAGATATTAACAGAAACGCAAAGAACCATCTCATTTGATGCGTTCATCCCTTCACTTTTTACCCATTTTAACAACCAAAGTAAATCAGAAACATAAATTGTGCAAAATAGTAAAAAAAACACTGAATAATATACAGAGAAAACTGTCAATATTGCTGCAGGCTTGGCAAAAACAGTGGTAAAATCTTAATTTCCTAATAAAAATTTTTACAAAGCTTTATTTGGCTTCTTATTTGGCAGATTTTTGTTCCAATATTTTAGTTTCACTTTAAATGGAGCAACAGTTACATTCTGGCACCTGTACCAGCACCTGAATGTAACTGCTTCACCATTTAAGGTGGAGCGGGAAATTGAAAAGAGTAGCCAACTTCAGCTTTATTGTGTTTCTGAAGTCATTTGTCTCATATGTGTGTCCCATGTACTGCTTCCCACCCTTCAGACACTGGTAAAATCTGGAAAATCTTACAGTCATTCACATTCAGTCATTCAGTACCAGCTGGTCCATAGTGCGCTGCAGGAACAAGGCCAGAAGGCCACCACATTGACTGAGTCAGGCAGCTCCTCAGCCAGGCTGCATTGCTCTAGTGTCTGTTAGGCTAAGGCTAATCCCAAAAGTCCAACCATTCCTTTATGCCCTCTGCCTTGAAAACAGATGCGATGGGCTACACAGCCTGAGGTGATCGAGGGACTGCTGTGTTTTTGTTTTTCAGTATTGCAGCAATGCAAATGTTTCTTTTAATCTACATATTACCTGTCCTAACATTACAGACCCATTATTCAGGATCACATAACCTCACCATTCCCCTAAAAACCCTGAACCCAGCATAGAGAGGCTGAGTGAATGTGGTGTGGACTGTGTGTAGGAGGGTCATTGTGTCAGAGACGCTGTAGAAGGACAGGATTCCTGCACTGTGATCCACATACACTCCTATTCTGGAGGGTGATCGGCCTGGGATATCAGTCTTACCGTTGTTGTGATAAAGGGTAAGAGGGAAAGAACACCGCAGAGTCCAGGACTCATTGGTTTGTCCAAACCCACAGGTGTTACTGCATCCTTTCCTGTTGATCTCTCTATATGAGACTGCTACATACACATACCCCCGTCCCACACTGCTCCACTCAAACTCCCAGTAACAGCGTCCACTCACACTCTCCTTACTCAACACCTGCTTCCAGTAGGTAAATCTCTCTGGGTGATCATAGTATGGCTGGAACCCACTGTCCTTCACCACTCTGTTCTCCTCAGACAACCTGAGGTAATTATTTATGGTGTTGGGATCCAGAGTCAGCTCACAGAAATCTAAAAAAAAAGTTGAGAAAATGAAAATTTTACATTTTTAATGCACAGAATGTTCCTATTTTATGATCAAATCTATTTGTTAGTTTTAGTTTCCCTCCTTATACATTTCTATGCCTCATATTAGTTGCAGTCTAGTAAGTGATGCATTCATATGATCCTCAAATGTAGCCTTGCATGGTCACATGCTTACGTCACTTCCATGGACTAAAAACAGGCTTACAGTCTACTCCCAAAAGATGCCCTAAACCCTATGATCCTCCAGGACGTCCAGAATATCAACCACATGCACACTTCTAGGGCTAGTTTGCTTGTCTAATCTGGCTCCCCTCAGCATAATGCAGCTCAATGACCAGTTAAAGTAATAAACAGCTTTTCCTCACATCTGAATATCTTCCTCTCGGTCAGATTTAATCAGACTGCTGTAACCCACTCTTCCACTCTGACTGGTCCTGGACTCTATCTCAAGAAATTTTGGTAAGAGGCTTCTGGTTAGTCTGCATTGCCGAAGGCCCCAGTAAGGGAACCACTGAGCCCTTCGTTAGCCAAAATGTGAAACTGGACACCCTGGATAGTGTTAGCTAGCCAAAATAAATCCAGCTTTGCTTATAAGGGGGTACGCCACAAAGCTTTGGACAGTCAGCCAGATAACTTTGTAGATTTGGAAGTTTTACTTGGAGTTCATCATTGAAACATTTAAGATCACAATGACCACAAGAATATATATTCTATAAATATATTTTATATCATGTCCAGCTGCTTTTATTTTAAGCAGATAATCACTTGTTTCACTCCCGGTTTAGTCATTTGTCCTAATAACGACAGCCTGGTAGCAGAATGTTTTGCCACTCAGTCTGACTGAGGGGGCGTGTTCCGACAGAAACGTGACATCAGTGCATACCCTCTATACGAGATCACATCAGGCCCTGCAAGTCTAGACGAAAAGACGATTCTTCAGTGTTGTTTTAGAGGGTTTCCAACAACAGTGCTTTCAGAATGAAATGTGTGAGTGTGTGTGTGTGTGTGTGTGTGTGTTGTGTACATACACTGTAGAAAATCTTCTCTGGTTTTTGGCTCTGAGGGTAAAATCATCTGAACTGCTGCAACTGTGGAAAGACAGAAAACAAGTGATCCAACAGAAAGAATAAAGGAGACCAACCAGAAAGAAAGAAACAGGAAACATATATACAGAAACTATTCTCATGTTTAAAGTGACATCACTGGTTTTCAGCTGTGAGCAACTTGGCCTCTAAATGTTATATTAACACATTTTCAGGGCAAATCAATTACTTTTACCTTACTCCCACAGTGTGTATGTGCATTTGTTTGGGACTGCTTCACTCTGAGAGTTTAACGTACAGTTACAAGAAAAAGTTTCTGAATTCCTGAAATTACCTGGACGTCTACATAAATAAAAATATAAATAACAAGCAATCAAGCTGACTGATGTTAAAAATATGTGAATATCAGGACAGTTACAGTCAGGTGCTCCCATCAATTCAGGCTGCACATCAAAAACTAGAGTTTTAATGGATATGAAAGACACACATTTCGGTTTTCCTGCTCTTCAAATCAAAGTTACTAGCTACCTGCTCTTCAAAGCACAGTTGCTAGAGTTATCTGCTCAAAATAAAATTTGTTAAGAGGCTTCTGTTGAGTTCGCATCCCCCAGTAAGGGCATGTAGAGGGAGCCACTGAGCTCCCCCTCGTTTGCCAAAATGACAAACTGGACACCCTACAACCTTTTGCTCCACTCATGCCTGTGCAACAAGTACACCATTTCCCCCATATGCTTGAGCTCCACCTTGACAATGAGCTCCACCTTGACAATGAGCTCCACGTTGACAATGCGCTGGATTAGGTTAGAAATGTCACGCTTAGTTTGTAACCACCCACATTTAGCCCAGCA